CCGGCGGCAGGCGGACGCCCCGCCGCTGCGGCGTCGGCTGTGGCGGATCTGGCGGCCGCGCCGGGCGCTGAGGGATTTGCGCTGCACCCGGCGGTGCTTGACTCTTCGTTCCACCTCGGAGCAGCGCACGCAGCGCGTGGCGCAACTGGTGGATCGGGCCTCCTGGTACCGGCGGCCTTGGGCGCGCTGCTGCTGCCGCCCTGGACGCCGCGCGAGGAAGATGCCGGCGCAACCGGCTGCTCGGCCGCGGCGCGCTCAAAGGCAATAGGTGGTGACGCGGGCTCAACTTCGCATGTGCGCATGACGCCTGGCGGCTGCACTGTCGAGGGGCTGGTGGCAAAGCCGCTGCGGCCCGCCAAGGCTGTAGCTGGCGCCCCTGGTTTGGCAGGGTCAGATTCAGTTGATCAGGATGGTTGCAGCAGCATGCTATACCAGACTGTCCTGGCTGCCAGCGACCCTTGGGAAGCTTCCCAGAAGCTGTCCGGCGCCGGCTGCGCCGTCGCTCTGGGCTCGAAGCGCGCTGGGCCTGCCGCGCTCGTGGCGGCTGCCCTGGCGGCGGCCCGCGGTGCGCTTGCCGCGCCGGGCGCCGGCGCCGCAGCCCTGACGCTGGGCACGGGTGGTCACCCATCTGCGGGCGGCGCTTTGACACGTGGCGCGCTGCCTGGGCTGCTCAGGACAGTGCAGCAGGAGGCAGCTTCTTGGCATGTGGCAGTGCTCAGCGACAGCACCACGCCAGCCTGCGCCTCGCCAACCCTTGCTCTGGGCGACGATGGGCCGCAGCAGCAGCTCACAGCAGTGGGGTCTTATGGTGGCCGTGCAGACGCGTGTGTGCTGTTTGCGCCGGTCCTGAGGCCAGCCGCTGTGGCAGCTGCCGAGCAGCTGCCGCCTCACCAGCTTGTGCCCCAGCCACGCGGCGCCTTCAGCGGCCTGGTGCCGGCGGCTGTTGATGTGTCGTCGGCGGCGCTGGCGCACGGTCAGATAGGGCTGAGGGTTCAGGCTGTGGGCCTCAACTTCCGGGACGTGCTTAACGTGAGGGGTCGTTGTCTGTTGGGGCTGTTGCTTGTGGATGTGGTTTGCAGCTGCGTGCTGTACGTACCGAGGGACACGATGGTGCGCAGGTGCATGTTTTGTACTTGCACTGACAAGCTCAGAAGCTTCATACAACCACTCAGCATTGCACTGTGCACAATAATTTAACCAAGCAAACAACTGCAATACCAAACAAACCCCTGCGCAGGTCCTGGGCATGTACCCTGGCGACCCAGGCAACCCTGGAGGGGACTGCGCAGGCGTCGTCCTCGCCACAAACCCCACCGCCACCTCGACCCCGCACGCCGTCGGCCAGCGGGTGTTTGGCCTGGCTGTCGGCTCCCTCGGCACAGCCGTGGCGTGTGCTGCCGACACCATGGTGGCAGCACCCGCGTGCCTGACCTTTGAGGAGGCCGCCAGCATGCCCACCGTGTTCATAACCGCGCGTGCGGCGCTGCGGCAGGTGGCCACTGCAAGGCGCGGTGAGCGCGTGCTGCTGCAGGCCGCAGCAGGCGGCGTGGGCCTGGCGGCGCTGCAGGTGCTGGAGGCGACAGGCGCCGTGGTGCTGGGCACAGCTGGCGGGCCGCCCAAGCGCGCGCTGCTGCGCTCCCTGGGAGTCGCACATGCAGCGGGCAGCCGGGACACGGGCTTTGCGTGCGACCTGGCAGTGGCAGCTGGTGGCGCGGACGTGGTGCTCCACTCGCTGACGTCACCAGGCATGGTGGGCGGCGCGCTGGCACTGCTGCGGCGTGGCGGGCGGCTGGTGGAGATCGGCAAGCGCGATGTGTGGAGCGGCGCCGCAGTGGCCGCTCAGCGGCCCGACGTGGCATACCGCCTGCTGGCGGTGGACTTCCTGCCCGACTGCGAGGTGCAGGCGGCGCTTCGTGCTGTGGCGGCGGGCGCTGCATCTGGCGCGCTGCGGCCGCTGCCGCTGGCGGCGCACCCTCTGTCGGGCGTGGCAGCTGCCCTGCGACAGCTGAGCCAGGTAAGAGCTTGGGGAGGCTGTGATAGGTCGGACTGGCAGGGTTCACTCAATCGCTTGCACCCTCCTCGGCTTGATTGTTTGTGCCCTCCTTGGCTCGTCTCTACCTCTCTCCCACCTCGTTTGGCCTGTACAGGCTATCAGCTTCTTGATGATTTCCTTGCAGGTGTCTGTCTAGAGTATTACTGCCGCCACCCTCAACAACTCACTTGTGCTGCAGGCTCGCCAACTGGGCAAGGTCATCGTCGGCGGCGCCACCAACCGGCCGCCAGCCGCGCCAGCAGGCCGCGTGCTGGTCACAGGCGGCACAGGCTACCTCGGAAGCCTGGTTGCTGCCTGGCTGACTACACAGCAGCTCGGCTCAGTCAGCCTGCTTGCCCGCAACGCGCGCGCCAGCAGGCCCCTGGCGCAGCTGCTGGCTGGCGGCAGCATGATGCCCGTGAACGTCACGCAGTGTGATGCCGGCCTCAGCGCTGACGTGGCAGCCCTTCTCAACAGCGGCGAGCCAATCCAGGCCATCTTCCATGCGGGTGGCGTGCTAGCGGATGCGACCCTGCAGCAACTCACCCTCTCAGGTGTGCGCCGCACGATTGCCGCCAAGCAGACTGCACTGGGGCGGCTGCTGGCTTTGCATCAGGCCCAGCCAGCAGCTCAGCTTGTGCTCTTCAGCTCTGTGGCGTCTCTGCTGGGCAGCGCCGGCCAGGCCAACTACGCCGCAGCCAACGCCGCGCTCGACGCTGCCGCGGCGGCGCTGCAAGCCGGCGGCGTCGCGGCGCTCAGCGTGCAGTGGGGTGCGTGGGCGGGCGCAGGCATGGCGGCCAACGACCCCCGGACGGCGGCACGCGTGGAGCGCATGGGCATGGGGCTGATTGAGCCGCGCCGCGGCCTCGCAGCTCTCGAGGGCGCCCTCGCCGCTGTCGCGACCATCTGTGCAGCCTGTGCGCCCGTCGTAACCGCGGTGCCCTTTAACTGGCGCCGCATGGCGAAGCGCCTCGGCAGCCGCGTCCCCACGCTGTTCTCAGAGGTCGGCGTCGCTGCTGGCGTCGGGTCGTCCGCGGCTGGGGCAGCGCCCAGGCGCGGCCGCGCGCCAGCCGCTCGCCGCGGGCTGCATGAGAGGGCAGCAGTGGCGGCGGCTGAAGTGGGCAGGCAGGTCGAGGAGGCGGTGCGCTCCATCGTTGGCAGAGAGGTGGGCGCTCGGCCAGAGGGATGCTGGTTAGGCTGTGCTCAATGCTGCAGAAGTTGAACATAAATGTCACTTGTGTCTGGATGCAGACGTAGCCAGGTCCCAGCAGCATCAACCGAGCTTTCTCTTGCGTGACAGCATTGACCATGGTTTTGGGTGTCTGCCTCCCTCAATCCACTGCGGCAATTCTTCCTCATGGAGATCCAAGCTTCCCTGCCAGAGACCTGATCCATCCATCCGTGTCCCTCAAACAGGTGGCCCCCGACGAGCCCCTGATGGCGGCTGGCCTGGACTCCCTGGGCGCAGTGGAGCTGCGCAACGCGCTGGAGGGCCGCCTGGGGCTGCAGCTGCCAGGGACCCTCGTCTTCGACTACCCCAGCAGCGCGGCCCTGTCCCAATACATCGGCTCCCGGCTGGCTGCCTCGGGCGTCAGCATCGATGCCACGGGCCAGGCCGGCGCCGAGGATGAGGAAGAGGACCAGCAGGATTGGCCGGAGGCGTCCGCGGCTGCGGCGGCGGTTGCTGACAGGGTACCCCGGGGCCTGACGCCCGCCGGCTGGGCACCCACAGGCGCGGCGTCGGTTCTGGCTGTCTCGGCTTTCAGCTACAGGTGCGTTCAACAGAGTTGGGAAATCTTCTGTGTCTTCTGCTGCGCCACCTGTCGAGACCTCAAATGCACCTTGGTCCCTGTGAATAATCCTTCAACCTTGCAATGAGTGCTTTCATGGGGCCAGATATAACACCCTGAACCACCACCAGTTGCACATGCCTCCTCACCTTCCCACCGCCGCGCCGCCCTTCCACCCAGGGTGCCCCGAGACGTCTGGGCAGATGGCTATGCCGGCGACGCGGCCGCTGCCATCCCCCTCGAGCGCTGGGACCCCGACGTCGCCCCTGCCGCCGCCCTCTTCGCCGACGGCGGCGCGCCGCTGCGGTTCGGCGCCTTCCTGCCCGCCGGCGTCGCCGCCGCCTTTGACGCCGCAGCTTTCGGGCTGTCGCCGCCCGAGGCGGCCCTTATGGACCCGCAGCAGCGCCTGCTGCTCGAGGCCGCGGCCGAGGCACTCGCCGGCGGCGCCGCCGCTGCGGCGTCGGGCATGAACTCGTGCGGCGTGTTTGTGGGGATCTCGTCGATGGATTACCAAAAGCTGGCGTCGAGGTACGGCGGCGCGGTCACCGCTTACAGCGCGACTGGCGTGTCGCTCAGCGTGGCGGCGGGCCGCCTGTCCTTCACCTTCGGTCTGGCCGGCCCCTCCCTGGCGATTGACACCGCCTGCAGCAGCAGCCTGGTGGCCGCACACTCGGCGTCGCTCAGCCTGGGCGCGGCGCAGTGCGGGCGCGCGCTGGTGGGCGGCGCGAACCTGGCGCTGTTCCCAGACACCCCTGCCATGTTCAAGCGGGCCGGTAAGAGAGGAGTATGGTCTGGGGCTGTGCGGCTTTAGCTTTGCCTCAGATTGGTGGCACTCCCAAGTCGCTAATGCTGTGGAAGTCCTGGGGTTGTCACAGGCTTGTACCATCCAACGTCCTCAGGATAACGGTGTCCCATGCAGCTGCAAGGGGAGATAGTGAATAATTCATCCTCATGCCAACATGCACCTCCTCATATGCAAGATGCATCTGGTGTGCTTGCTCTCAGATGCTGCTGTGCCAAACTTACTCCTGCCAGGCATGCTGGCAGAGGACGGCCGCTGCAAGACACTGGACGCAGCAGCCGATGGTTATGTGCGCTCAGAAGCTGTGGGCGTGATGCTGCTGCAGCCGTTTGCGGCTGCAGAGGGCGCCTCGCCCGCGCCGCTGGCCGTGCTGGCCGGCAGCGCTGTCAACCAGGACGGCCGCAGCAGCGGCCTCACGGCGCCCAACGGGCCGGCGCAGCAGGAGGTGATTAGGCAGGCCCTGGCGGCTGCGGGGCTTGCCGCGGCAGACATGTGCGGCGTCAGCACTCACGGCACTGGCACCAGCCTGGGGGACCCGATTGAGGTCGGCGCCCTGGCCGCCGTGTTTGGCGGCAGCGGCGGCAAGAGCGGCAGCAGTGGCTGTGTTGCCGCTCCACTTGTGGTGGCGGCCAGCAAGTCATGGCTGGGCCACGCCGAGCCGGCTGCGGGCGTTGTTGGCATCCTGCAGGCGGCACACCAGGTGTGCGGCCTCGCGGCGCCACCTATCGCCCACCTGAGGACCCTCAACCCCCTCGTGGCATCGGCCATGAGCAGCGACGGAGGCCGCGGCTGGGCGCTGCCGCGCCAGGCGGGCGGTTTGGCGACGGCGGAGGCAGCAGCCCTGGCCCGCTGCGGCGTCAGCGCGTTCGCGTTCCAGGTGCGGGTTTGCAGCGCGTCGCACGTCGCAGCGCTACTGCTGACTTCCTTGGTAAACCGCGCAGCGCTGCCTTGTGCCACGGCCCCCCACCCCCACAGATAACCTTGCAACCCTTTCGTTTCTCAACCCGCGCCACGCCTGACCCCCATCACCCCAGGGCACCAATGCGCACGTCGTCATTGCCACCCCCTCACCTGCCAATACGTCCGTGAGGCTGGCTGCACCCAGCCTCGCAGCCGCGCAGCCCCAGTGGCGCCGCAGCTACCTCTGGCTGCTGCCGCGGCCGCGCGCCCTCGCCGCCGGTGGCGTCTCGCTGGCCGCGGCCGAGGCTGCGGGGCCGGGCGCCAGCGGGACGGCCACGTTTGCATGCCGCCTTGACGCGGCGCGGCTGGCGTTCCTGTGGGACCACGTCGTCGGGGGCACCCCCATATTCCCCGCGGCGGGCTTCCTGGACGCGGCCGCGAGCGCGGCGGCCACGCTGCTGCTGCCGACTGCAGCGCACGACGGCACAGCCGACGACGGGCGCCAGTTGGGCCCGCATTACCACAACAACCACCACCAGCAGCAGCTGCTTTTGCTGACAGATGCAGCAATTCCTGCGCCTCTGGCTCTGGCCGGCAAAGGCGGCGGAAGAGGCAGCGAGCAGGAGCTGCTGGTCTCCATCAGCCTCGACTCGGGAAGGGTCAGGGTGACGAGCCGCGGCGGCGCCGGCAGCGCCACCTCAGCGCCCACCACGCACCTTGCCGCCGACGCGGCGCTCGCCCGCGCCGCCGCGCCTGAGCTGGCCGTGCAGCCCGCCGCGGTGCGGGTGGCCAGGCTGCTAGGCGGCCCTCCAATCACGCCGAGCAGCGGCGGCTATGCCAACTCGGCGGCCTCAGGGGCCCTGTGCGCGCCGCCGCAGTCGGCGGGTGACGCGCACGACTTCAGCTTGCACCCCGCCCTCCTCGATTCGGCCCTGCAGCTGGGGGCCGCAGCCGCAGCCGCGACGCAAGCAGTCGGCCGCCAAGCAGCCGGCAGCCCAGGCGACACCAAGGTGCCCGTGGGCCTGTCTGCGCTGCTCGTGCCGCTCGGTGACAGCGGCGCGCCTGCATGCCGCCCCGCGTTTGCCGCCACGCGCGCGTTCACGGGCGAGAGTGGACAGCTGAGCAGCAGTTACTGGCTCGTGGACAAGCGGGGGGCCGCCACGGGCGCCGTGGATGGGTTGGTGGCTAAGGCCATCCCCAAGCCGGCCCAGCGGAGGGCCCAGGGGCAGGTGCAAGATCTTCAAGCTGCAAAGGACTGCTTGTACCAGATCGACTGGGTTGTCGACAGCCCCGAGGCAGCTTTGGACAGGATTCAGGAAGCTGGCTCAGAAGATCAGCGGGCAGTTGAGGCGGCCTGCGATCTGTCGCTGACCGCCCGTGCTGACGGCGGCCTGAGCGCCACCGCGGCGCTGGTCGCGGCGCTGCAGGCGCAGCAGCCGCGGCCGGGCGCGGGCGCACCCTTGAGCGTCTGGACGAGCGGCGCGGAGGCGACAGTGCTGCACGGGGCGAGCGGCGGGCCTGCGGGGCGCGGCGTCGCCGGCGCTCTGGTGTCGGCCGTGCTGCGGACTGCGACGCAGGAACAGGCGGCCCAAGTGACGGCCCAGTCCGACGCCAGCCTGCATACCTGCAGCGGCAGCGGTGCAGGCATTTCCAGCAGAGCAGTGCGCCTCAGTGTCATGCCTGGCGCTGCCGCCCTGCCCGCCGGCAGCCGCAGCAGCAGCGCCGCGGCCGGCGCGACCCTGACGGCGCGGCTCAGGCCGGTGGCAGCTGCAGAGCAGCTGCCGCCTCACCAGCTCGTGCCCCGGCCGCGTGGCGCCTTCAGCGGCCTGGTGCCCGCAGCTGTGGACGTGTCGGCGGTGGCGCTGGCGCCCGGCCAGATAGGGCTAAGGGTTCAGGCTGTGGGCCTCAACTTCCGGGACGTCCTGAACGTGAGGAGAGGGATCGTGAGGATTGACGAGCGGGGGAGCAAAGGTTGCTTGAGCTGCAAGTGCCTGCTTGCAATGTCAACCGCGTCTTACCGCAGCCCCACCAGCATTCAAGTAGGGACCCTCCTTCTTCTGACCGACTGCAATCCTTCATGCAACAACGCCGACTCAGGTCCTGGGCATGTACCCTGGCGACCCAGGCAACCCCGGAGGTGACTGTGCAGGCGTCGTCCTCGCCACCAACCCCACCGCCACCTCAGTCCCGCATGCCGTTGGGCAGCGCGTGTTCGGCCTGGCGGTCGGCTCTCTCGGCACAGCCGTGGCATGTGCCGCCGACACCATGGTAGCGGCGCCCGCCTGCCTGAGCTTTGAGGAGGCTGCCAGCATGCCCACCGTGTTCATCACTGCGCGTGCGGCGCTGCGGCAGGTGGCCGCAGCGCAGCATGGCGAGCGTGTGCTGCTGCAAGCCGCGGCAGGTGGCGTGGGCCTGGCGGCGCTGCAGGTGCTGGAGGCAACCGGCGCCATGGCGCTGGGCACAGCTGGCGGGCCGCCCAAGCGCGCGCTGCTGCGCTCCTTGGGCGTGGCGCACGCAGCAAGCAGCCGGGACACGGGCTTTGCGTGCGACCTGGCAGTGGCAGCGGGCGGTGCGGACGTGGTGCTCAACTCCCTGACGTCACCGGGCATGGTGGGCGGCGCGCTGGCGCTGCTGCGGCGTGGCGGGCGGCTGGTGGAGATCGGCAAGCGCGATGTGTGGAGTGGTGCGGCCGTGGCCGCTCAGCGTCCTGACGTGGCGTACAGCCTGCTGGCGGTGGACTTCCTGCCCGACTGCGAGGTGCAGGCGGCGCTGCGTGCTGTGGCGGCGGGCGCTGGATCTGGCGCGCTGCGTTCGCTGCCGCTGGCGGCGCACCCTCTGTCGGGCGTGGCAGCTGCTCTGCGTCAGCTGAGCCAGGTGAGGTGCAATATCACAATCGACACCCAATGGGTTGCCCAAATTGGCAAATGGCTCTGTGAGGTCGTGCTTGCTGATGGGAATTTGACTTTGGGGGATGGGATCCGGGGCCTGACCCTAAACCATAGATCCATTGTTATGTGCTCCCCAACAGGCCCGCCACGCCGGCAAGGTGGTCGTCAACGCGCCTGCCTCCTACCAGCAGCAGCTGTTCCTGGCCGCAGACGGCTTAGTCATCGTCACCGGCGGCCTCGGCACCTTGGGCGCCCTCGTCGCCGGCTGGCTCCTGCAGCAGGGCTGCACGCGCGTGGCGCTGCTCGGCCGCGCGGGCAAAGCCTCCGCGCTCGCGCAGCTGCCGGGCGGCCGCGCTGACATCAGCGTACTCGCGTCGTCGCCGGCGCAGATTACGTTCGCCGCGTGCGACGTGGCGGCCGCCGCCGACCTCTGGCAGCAGCTGCTCTGCGGCGGGGGGCGCGCGCTGCCGATTTTGGCAGTGCTGCATGCCGGCGGCGTCCTGCAAGACGCGACGATCGCGAAGCAGGATGCGGCGGGCTTGCGGCGTGTGTACGCGCCAAAGGCGCGCGCCGTCCAGCAGTGGCAGGGGCTGCTGCGCTCCCAGCCTGCGGCGCAGCAGGTGCTCTTCAGCTCAGTGGCGTCCCTGCTGGGCAGCCCCGGCCAGGCCAACTACGCCGCAGCCAACGCCACGCTCGACGCGGTCGCGGCGGCGCTGCAAGCCGGCGGCACGCCAGCGCTCAGCGTGCAGTGGGGCGCGTGGGCGGGCGCGGGCATGGCGGCCAACGACCCCCAGACTGCTGCGCGCGTTGAGCGCCTGGGCATGGCGCTGATTGCCCCGCAGCAGGGCCTGGCCGCGCTGGAGGGCGCCCTGGCCGCGGTGACGCGCGGGGGCCGCGGCGCGACGCTCGCCCCGCTGGGCGCTATCGCGGCGGTCCCCTTCAAATGGGCGGCGTTCCTCGCCCATCGGCGGCCGGCGCCCGCCTTCTTCTCAGAATTCGAGGCCCACCTGCAGCCGGCGTCCTCCCGCACGCCGGGCGGCAGCCGCGGCAGCCGCAGCCGCAGCCGCGGCGCCGCGCCGTGGAGGCCGCCGGTGCGGCAGCAGGGCGCCGCTTCGGCTGTGGGGGCCCAGGTAGCGTCGGCGGTGGCGGCCGTCCTGGGGCGGCCTGTGGGCGCGGATGAGCCGCTCGTGGCGGCCGGGCTGGACTCCCTGGGCAGCGTGGAGCTGCGCAACGCGCTGCAGGCGGGTTTGGGGGGTCCTGGCTTCAGGGTTTAGCCCTTGGGGCGTCCGTGGTGTGACCAAAGCGCTCGTGCAGTAGACCCGGATGCGCTGGGCGGGCACGCCATATGCTGACCTGGTGCATAGCTGCGTTCTGCGACGTAAACCCTCCCGCTTTTCCTGTGTACGACAGCAAATTGCTGCCTGCAGCAGGGAGGTCTGCCACACCACCCCCGTCGACGTACCCTCCTTGCCTTCACTGTTGTTTCCATGTCCATCGACCTCCCACCTACTCACGCACCCTCAGTCCACGCTTCAAGTGGAGCTCCCGCCCACCTTGGTCTTCGACTACCCGAGCGTCTCAGCAATTACCTCGCTTGTTGCCTCCCTCGGCGCCCGCGGCGCCGCCGGCGCCTCCCCGCCTTCACTTGATGACGTCAGCGACGACGAGGCCTGCCCGGACGACACCCCTGCCGCGCTGCCGCCGCTCGCCGGCGCGGCGCTTGGCTCTGGGGCCGCTGCAGGGCAGGGCGCGCGCCTGCTGGTGGCGGTGGCGTCTTTCGCGAGCCGCACAGCGGCGGGCAACGCGGTGCTGTCGTTGGAGGGGCGGGACGCGAGCCGGCGGGTGCCCTTTGAGCGCTGGAGCGGCGCTGATGTGGAGCAGGTGGGAGCAGCACCAGCTTGGGCGCTTGTGTTGAGAGATCAGGCCGTGCTCACAGCAACGCTGCTGCCATAAACTGTGCGTGACCAACTTCTTCACACGATTTGCTGTGCAGGGCTACAAAACAAATGTTTTCATGCGCTCACAGCTGAATGCTCCCACTCCTTTTGTTTTCTAATTGCAGCTCTTCGACGGCCTGCCGCCCCAGTTCGCCGTCTCCCTGTCAGACGCTGCCCTCTTTGACGCCGCCGCCTTTGGCGTCAGCGCCCCCGAGGCGGCCCTCATGGACCCCCAGCAGCGCCTGCTGCTTGCTTGTGCCGCAGAGGCGCTGCTCGGCGGCGGCACGGGCCCCGCCGCGTCCGCGTCACTTGGCATTGGCACTGCCGTCAGCAGCGTCACCGGGGTCACCGGTCCGGTGGGTGCGTACGTTGGTGTGTCGTCTATGGACTACAACAAGCTCACCCTGAAGTTCCTGGGGAGCGTCACCCAGAACTCTTCCACGGGTGAGTGGGGAGGGTCGGTGGCGGGTTTGACAGTGAAGGAACGGGGCAAGCGCGCAGTTCATGACAAGATGGCAGGGCAGGTGGGGGTTTCGTGACGGAAGAAGAGGAGATGGGTGTCTGATAGTGTTGCACGGACCCCTGGACAATGTTGGTGCAAATCCAGTCTGCCTTGCAGCCCTCAAAACCCCTGCCACCTCACAGCCTGGGTGCCAATGTGATTGTGTCACACCTATCTTGTCTCTAAGCACCAAGTTGCATGTTTCACCCCCAACACCAACCCCTCCCCGCCCACCATCAACGCCCAGGGGCCAGCCTTTCCGTGGCGGCAGGCCGCCTGTCCTACACCTTCGGCCTGCGCGGCCCCGCCATGTCCGTCGACACCGCCTGCAGCAGCAGCCTGGTGGCCGCGCACACCGCCGTCGCCGCGCTGGCGCTCGGCAACTGCGCGGCGGCGCTCGCGGGCGGCGTCAACCTGGCGCTCTCGCCTGACACGAGCGCAGCGTTCGCCAAGGCGGGCATGCTTGCTCCCGACGGTCGCTGCAAGGTGCGGAGCGCACAGCCTAGCATGGGATATAATTTGGGATCCTTTGCAGACCCCTCTTCAGTGTCCACCACCCACCTTGAATTTGCTTGCTTTCCAACCGCTCTACCCCAATCAATGATAGCTCTTGCGATTTCGCCCCGTCAAGCTCTCGATGTTCACTGTTGTCGATGCAAACACCCCATGCAGACCTTGGACGCTTCCGCCGACGGCTACGTCCGCGCAGAGGCGGCCGGCATCTTCGTGCTGCGGCCGATGGACGCCTCGGGCAGCGTGGCTGCCCCCGATTCGGCCGCGCCCACGCCGCTGGCCGTGCTGGCCGGCAGCGCCGTCAACCAGGATGGCCGCAGCAGCGGCCTCACGGCGCCCAATGGGCCAGCGCAGCAGGAGGTGATCAGGCAGGCGCTGGCCGATGCCGGAGTTCGTGCGTCCGAGGTGCGTGACGATGCTTGTGATCTGTGTTTGGACCGTCCAAGGGTGGCGGCGCCCAAGCGGCAGTTGGGCTTGCTGCCAGCAAGCATGCGGCGCTGCCATTCATGGCTGCATTCTCGTTCTCATCATGTGCTTCCCCAATGGAGCCGAGGGGCCTCGGGATGCTGAAAGAGCAGAGATACATTTGAATATCCTGGTGTGTTGCCTGGTGGGCCAGATCGCAAAGCACACTTCACTTGCGGATGCCCTGGGCATGGGGGGTTTCAACTGCGATGCGGCTGGCACACATGCTATCTTCAAATCCCCCATTTTCAATTTACAGGTCGACCTGCTGCAGCTACATGGCACAGGCACCAGCCTGGGAGATCCCATCGAGGTCGGGGCAGCCGCAGCGGTGTTTGCCCCACGCGCCGCGCCCGACGGCGCCGCCGCGCCGCCGCCGCCCCCGGTCCCCCTGGCGCTGTTCACCAGCAAGAGCAGCCTGGGTCATGCAGAGCCGGCCGCCGGCGCGGTCGGCGTGCTGCACGCGGCTTGGGCTGCGCGCCACGCGGCGCTGCCGCCCGTGCTGCACCTGCGGGCTGTCAACCCCTTTGTGGCTGGCACTTTGAGCGCGGGGGCAGCCGGCACGGCGAGCGGCTGGCAGCTGCCGAGGCAAGCCGCTGGGCGGGGATGCGGCAAGGAGGGCGACGGCGTCGTCAGCGGCGTCAGCTCTTTTGCTTTCCAGGTAGGTTGGGTCCGGCGTTATAACCTGTCATACGTGCTCACCCCATGAGCTTGCATGGACAGCAGCACGCACAGCATGGCACCAAGCAGCAAGGAAGCTGGGCTGCGGGCAGCTGCTCAAAAGTGGGAGCTTGTGTGCATTCGCAAATTGAGAATTGCCTATCGTTGGACTAGCCTTGACTTGGCGCTGAGCAAGAACACCCACCATGCCCCTCTGGCTGCCACTCTTGCAGGGCACCAACGCCCACTTGATCCTCAAGGCGCCCGTCGCCGCCCGCAGCGGCGCCGTGGGTGCCGGCAGCGGCGGCGTCAGGGCAGCCGTTTCCTGGCAGCCCGGCCGCCACTGGTTCATGGCGCCTGTGAGCTCCCTCCTGCGCTCAGTCGCCGCCTGCACTGGCAGGCGCGGCGCCGTAGGTGCGTCGGCGCGTTTCGTGTCGCTGCTCGGCGCGCAGGGCACCGCGCCGCTGCTCGGCGCACTAGCGGGCGGCGACGGCGGCGGCTTCCGGGTGCTGCCGGCCGGGGCACTCATGATGGCGGCCGCGGCCGCGGTTGACGCGGCGGCTGGCGGCGCCTCGGCAGATGGACGGGTGCTGCTGGTGGGAATCCAGCTGGGGATGCAGGTGGTGCAAGCCGCACGAGCAGGAGGCTGCGGCGCACTGGTGGAGCTTTCGATCGTGCTCGACGCGGCGCCTCGCCGCGTGTCGGTGCTGCTGGCCAGCCACACGGGCGGCGGGGCGCTCGCGATGGATGCGTCGCTGGCACGGTTGCCCGCCGC